ATGAATAAAAGTCAAGTGGGTCGGCTAGGAGAGGTACTTTTGTACATCCTCTCTTCTAGTCTGGCCGAATACTTTTCTCCTCTCCTTCTTCTTCTTCTTTCTCTTTTCTTTCTTCTTTCTTCTTCTCTACTTTGACCTAGAAACAACTAGGGTTTATTCACATCTTTCATTTAGTTCATGTTTATTGTTTGATTTTTTTTATTACTTGTCAACAATCTTATTAGTTTGATCTCCCCAATCTTAGTTTCAATTTATCCTCTTTGTATTTCTAGCATCAACTCATTGCGCTTCACACATGTATGATGGAATACTTAAAGCACCATAAGTTTTGGTTAAGGGGAGTCTTTTTCTTGTCTAAGCACAATTTATTTTTAGTTATTGTTGCATGTCATTTGGCTATTTTATATGTTTCAGTCTCTGGAAGTGTGTTCCTCATATTGTCATATTTGTGGTAGTATACTTTAATGATTGGGAATATGTTTAGAGGTGGAATTGGTAATTGGTCATTTCCTATGTAAGAGCTTTGGGCCTCCACGAGTACCGTGTTAATTGTGTCTTAGGTAAGAGTTGTGAACCACCATGGGTACCATCTAAGCAGTTGAAGATTTGTCTTGCCATGGATAAGAGCCTTAAGTGTTACCGTGAATGCAATCAAGCTGATAGGATCCCTATTGGTTAGGGATGCAACTTGGGTCAGGTTAGGTTGAGATTTTGTTAAATTTTAAATGGGCCCAAGCATGGACCTGAGCCCAATGTAATTGAAATTCTTCAAATCAGGCAACCTGCCTTGCACACCCTGTTGGTATGGTGTAAGAGTTGGTTGTTGCCATGCTAGAATCTTTTTTTATTAGTAACTGAAAAATTTTATTAACTATGAAGAAATTAATGTTTTCCATTCTTCTCTCCTTTTTCTCTCATCTCTTACCTTATTCAGAACAATATTTTCCAAATAACAAGATGTGATTTGGGTTGTTCGGAGGGTTATAAGATGTGATTTGAATCCTAGGGTAGAGCACTCATAAAAGAAATCCTGGGATACAGCTGGAAGAGCTGTTGAACAGAAGATCTTGGTCAAACCTGCAAAGAGAAATGGGAAAGAAGAGAGAATATTGAAAGAAGAGGGAGAAGAAAGAAAAGAGTTAATAGAGTTTTACATTGGAGAAGGGAAGAATTGCTCTACTAAAAAATACTTTCAATTCATTTGGTTTAAATATCAAGTTACTGTTAACCCAAATCACAGAATTGCCACTAACAAACTTCATCCCACAGAAAACATCATAACTTCTGCTCTACTTATTTCTCTGTCTTTGAGACTTTAAATGTAACTTAAAGGTTAACATGACTCTAAGGCTGAACCCTTTTCATGGTAAATATAATTACCAAATTACCCCTAAAATTAGAAAAAAAACTTAGAAAACCAGAAATGTTCAAAAGAAATCTAAAAATACTCCTAGGCTGATTCTAGGACCATGTGATGCCCACACCAGGGTGGCATCAATAGAAGGTAAAATTCCAGGTGAAATAACTCAACCCTTTTTAAATTGCATCCACTTACAAGAAGTTTTCACCACTGTGAAATTCTTCTATGTTGTTTTTATCATTTCTATTCTTTTCTTTTCTGTTGATACACATGTAGCAGTCAATATTATGATGAGACAAATATTAGAATTTGGAAGCACCCCCGACCTATGTGCTTGTTTCTATATATACACAGACATAGAAAAAGAAGAATTTGTGGGTTATTTGTATGTTCGTTTGTTTGCATGTATCTAATTCTAGTTTCTAGTGAGGATTTAGACATATGAGTAGTTTCTACTTTGTACCTTGCATATAATTCATGAAGCCTTTTGTTCCGAGTAGTTGTCTTTAATTCTTGTACTAAAAATTGTTGTAGAGTTGTGTGATGCTATATAAAACATGTTCTCAAGTTGTAAGCTATAACCAGTGCTACCAGTGGGTTTTCATATCACAAGCCAACAATATCTGCAGTTTTGTCAGTTTCCAGCTCACTTCTATCAAAACATGGGTGCAACATTTACATCCTCCAGCCTCTTTGTGCACCATTCAGAGCTCTATAGAGATTTGTAGTACTGATGTTGATACTGGAAACCACTGTTTGGAACTATAAAATCTGTGCTAATGTATTAGGATTTTAAAAAAGTTTTTACTGAAGGAGCAATTATTGTAATTAGGATCAAAATATACTGTATTTTGGTCATTTAAGAGTGCATTTATTTCTTTTTTATGTCATTTTCTAATTTAAATATTGCATAGCATGTATTGTAAATTAAGGAGAGGGACAAAAGGAACAACATAAGAGAGAAAAATAGAGGGAGAAATGCATAGGGATGTTACTGTTAGAATTTGGCAAAGAAGAACATTTATTGAGGCAAGAGTGATAAAGATGCTTTTTGACTGAAGAAAGCGGAGTGAAGGACAGTTTCATTGCAATTCTTTTTCTTTTGTTTATTTTCCTTGAGAGTACTGTGTAGGGAAGGGCCATTACCTTCTCTGCCTTTTCCCTTGTAAACTATAGAATATTTAGAGCTGTGGAGGGGAGGATAATTCCTTTCTGGTTTTTACCTTGAAACCCATAGAAAGTAGAGTTGGTGGTCCAAGATTTTTGGAATGTGATTCACATACCATCTTATTGAACGAGTGGCATATGTCCATAGTTTTGGGCACTAAGATTTAAACTTGCAACTCATAAATGGGCAAAATTTTGCAGCTCACATGCCTACTCCTTCCTTTTCATCCTTGGTCATGCATGGAGGGATGGCATGATTCAGTTCAAATTGTATCGGGAAGGCCCCGATATGGCCCGATAGGCAAAAAACCCTGCACAAGAAATGTACACAAGGAAACCAAATAATCTTCCCAAAAACCTTGCAAAGCCACTATCCCTTGACTGTTTACAAAAAAGATTTTCAGAGTGAAAAAAAAAAGAACCAAGATTTCTTTCTTTATAGTATCTATGAATACTCAGCCATGTAAGTATTTTTCCAACTACTTTTTGAAGCACTGTATCAGCAGAACAAAGTCGATTGCAGAAGATTCTTCCATTTCTTTCTTGCCAAATTACCCAGAACAATGGTGTTGGAAACCCGAATTATACTCCAAGCAACTTTCTCTTTCCGAGTCAAACCCTCCTGGTACCAGCCATCTATAAAATCCTTCACTGTTGCTAGACAACAACATCTTGCCCCAAACAAAGCAAAGACTCTGTTTCTAATTGAAGTAGAAAAAGTACAATGAATAAGAAGATGATCTGTTGACTCCAAAGGTCCTTCAGAAAAACACAACTTGTGTCTGTTAAGGCCATGCCTCTTCTAGACAGGTTATTTCTTGTTAGAATTTTGTTCAGATAGTCTTTCCAGACCAAGAAAGCCACCTTAGACGGAACATTTTTGCACCAGATCCTATTAACAGGAACCTCTTGCCCCCCCAAACCACTTTGTGCTTTTCTTTTCCACCTTGCGCTTTTAAAACACTGAGTTATGCCATTAGTACCTGATGTATTATAAGAGAAGAAGCTGAATGCTTAATAGTTTAACTTTTCTTTTTATGAAATCCAGAATTTAATTCAGGTGCATGGGTACTCAACTTAAACTTTATGAATACTTAATCATTTTCATGCAGTGTATATATATATAGTACTATTTTAGAAAATCTAATGTAAATGAAAAGGGGCCATGACTCAATTCTGGTCCCTTCTATTGGGAGTTTTAGGATAGGTGGACTGGGTACAAACCTAACTTCTGGCATTTTAGCACAAAGTGACCACTCTCAGTCTCAGACTCAAACTCATGTTCTCATTGCATGTAAACCTGATATTTTACCATTGTATCAAGCAACAAAAAGGAAATTACAATTCTAACCTAAATAATAACCAAATATTTTGCTTCCCACTTAGCTTTCTGTTGATTTATGTAGCATCACTTAATGTAACCTTATAATGGATTTTTCTGGTTCAACTATAGTCTTCAGGATTCTCCTTCCTAATGAGTCAATCAGATAACTATCTACTCTTTTAACTGTTCAAACTCAATTTTAGGCTCAAGTAATTGGAGGTAAGGAGCCAATTCAATTTTATGCGATTTTCCAGGCACTGATTGTCTTGAAGGTGTGTCTCAAACCCTATGCCACAAGCTTCTTTCTTTTATATGATCAAACAGAATGTGTTCTGAGATGACTTGTGTTTTGTTTTGTCATTTCATGTAGGGTGGGATCAGTGCACGATATAAGAGGTTCATACAAGAAAAAGCAATTACAGATGAAACTTATGATGAAAAAAAGACAGCTCTTTTCCGTGTTCAAGGATCGGGTCCTAATAACATGCAAGCTGTCCAAGTTGATATTGTAAGTTTGCATAGAGGGATATGCAAGATTGTACATCTTAAATGCAAACAATAAAAGCATTTTTGGTTTATCATCCTTTTCTCTCTAATCTCTATCATCCAATTTGATAGCTACTTAATCAGGAACATAGGTGTGTTTTATTTACATGAACATAAAATTTTCCATGATCTACCATAGTACCATATAAAGGACCCTTCAATATGACTTTATCACTTTTAACAACAATGAAAATTTTATGAAATAATACAAGTCTAAGTAGATATTTAGATGTTTCTTCAAAATAGGCAGGCCGTAAGAAGTAGCATTTGAAATAAAGGAAGCTTCAATATCGAGGGGAAATTCATGAAATGCAATGCAATAGGAAAGATGAGATCAGAAAATTATAAGGTAGAGGAAACTAGTTTGCTTAGGAGAAATTTAGCTGTATGATTAATGATTTAAGAATTATCAAAAAGATTTTCAGGATCAAGGATTAAACTCTATAATTTGATAATAATCAACTGACTAGTAATCTTGTCTCCTTTTGAACTCTTTCATATGATCCTCATTCTTCCTGGGCAGCATTCTTGAACAAGAATCAGAATCAGCCAGGGGTGATCATTCTTAGCCTGGCTGTGAAGCACAGCAATATACCTATGTATGTATGTATGTATTATATGCATACATAATACATATATTATATTAAATCTAAGAATATAGCATATATGTTTGTAGGCCCATATAGAGCAAGGTCCAGACTAGGCCATGAGCGCCTCTAGAGTCAACACCTTTTCTTGAATCAAGGCATCGGAGTTAACCCCACCAAGGTGGTTCTCAATCTCAAGTGTCAAACCTAAATTATATAGAATCAGCACCATATAAAACAAAAGCCAAAGGCAAAATCTTTTTCTTTTTCTGAATCTTGCATTGCTGTTTACAAAATTATGGACCTTTTGTGGACTTATTTCCATGGTCAAAAGACTTTTTTTTTTTTTTGATAAATGATCTAAAGTCATTTTAAGATCCAAAGTATCTTATTTATGTATTCTAGAGGCTTCTAGAGACAAGCGTGCCCTGTAAATGGAAGATTTCAAGATAAAAAATTTCCCAAAAATAATTTCTTGATTCATTACAACTTTTTTTAATCAGTAATAGAACAGATTTTATTAATAGAACAGCAGAAGCAAATTATACAAAGAACTTCCCAAAATGAGGTGTGAGATGCAGCCTCCTAAAAAGCACCAAATTACAATTGAGCCGAGAAAAGATGATCGCTATGCACCCCTTGCTTAGCTAAATGATCAGCTATCCCATTAGCCAACCTCCTTTCCCACTGATTCAATACAACTTTGGCATGACTTCTAAAGTAAAATCACTTCTCAAGCCATGGAAAGCATCTTGGTTTAAGGCAGTCCGTCTTGTGTCCTCTTATGGTCTACCATATACAATTAGAAAAGGCCTTGATGGACAACCAATCTACCTATCCCTTAAGGCCATTAAGCCTCCTAGCCAACCCAGGATTATCACTACAGTAAATCCAATATTGAAGAATCTAGAAGAGAATATTCTAAATCGATGGGGTGATGATATTTGTGTTTTTTATTTTACTTTATTGGGTTGCTTGACTATAGCAAGTAGGTTATAGTTTCTTCTTTCATTTTGAAGTTGGTGAAGAATTAATTTTGTTTTGAGTAATAATAATCATCAGCTAAGCCTTGTCCCAACTATAAGGTATTGGCTACATAGTCCTGTTCTGCCATTCCATTCTGTTAAATGCCATGTCCATTGTTAAACTATGGGCCCTTAATTCATTTCTCACTTCTGCAACCCATGTCCTTTTAGGTCTGCTCCCAGCTCTTCTAGCCCCTTCAACATGTAACTGATCACCTCTTACTGGTACTGTATTTGGTCTTCTCTGCACGTGACCAAACAATTTTGGTCTACTTTCCCTTGTTTTTCACCTACTGGAGCTACTCCTTGCTTCCCTGAAAAAAGTTCATTTTTTATCCTTTTCTGTCTAGTTTTCCCACTCATCCATTTCAACATTGCATTCTCTCCCTCCACACTCATCCGTTTCAACATTTAAACATTTGTGTGGGAGAAAAGTTTTCCCATACATATGTATGTATGTAATTCTACTGTGCTTTTAAAAATTGTACTACACTTCCTGAACTGCAGACTTTTTTAGATAATAATATCTACAACTACAAGAAAGAAGTGTCCACATATTGCTTTCCAGGGCTTATTAAAAATGGCAGGGTGAGTAGGTGGGAGGAGTGCATAAATACTTATTTCATTTGTCCTATGTTGATTTTGAAAATTATAGGTCTTCATTTTCAGGTCTCAAGTTCACTCAATTCATCCTATTGCTACATCTTGCAAAGTGGAGCATCGGTATTTACCTGGGTTGGGACTCTCTCGTCAATTAGTGACCAAAGTCTTCTTGACAGAATGCTGAATTTAATAAATGTATGTAATTATCCCATTTAAACCTTGGAACCTAAAGCATGCTCCATCATGTTCATTAATCAGGAATTACGCATTTTCCCTTAAAGGGTATGTGAATGGCATTCCATGTATTGTCTCCTGAAATATTCATACATAGTTCACTTGCTTGGAACAATGGTACAACTACAGTATACCATGCTTTAGTTAGTTTTTTTTTTTTTTTTTGATAAGCCCCAGGTTTTAGCTTGTTAGTACTTCAAAATAGTCATATAATCATATTTGGCAATAGAAAGATTTTTCTGCATAACTATGGTAATAGAAAAGAATAAGTTGACCATTTGAGTTTTTTGATGGATAAACTTTTATTGATTTGTTGGAAAAATATGTGTACAAGTTGATAAGTAGTTTCACTAGGCTACTAATAGTAGCTCCCTGTTACATTCAACCCCTTTAAGTTGTTCCCCATTACATTTTCTCACTATTTACCCCTAGCCTTGTAGCAAATCATCCATGTCATTTCCTAATCTCTGTATCCAGTTGAATATTGCATTCATCTCCCTTGACAGCCTCCATATCTCCCTTATGTTTTGTCTAAACCACTGTAAACCCGCTTATCATACTTCATCTACCCAATGACAGTCCATGAGTCACCTTCTACTAGCAAGTTTGTGATGTGTTGGGATCTGCTAAGCCTCAGCCTGTAGTAATGCCTTGAGCTTTGCTTTCACTGAGTTGTCATGGCCCATAGGGCCTGAGTAAATAGTAATTATAGCACTCACATGATTTCTAATGACTCTCCTCACACGGATGGTCCTGGATTTTTCTAGGCTGCATCCATCAAAGTTGAGTTTTACCCAATTCAAAGGTGGTGGATTCCAACTTCAGGTTACTGGTTGATTAGAAGAAAATGAATCAGCAATCTGTCTACATCCTCTAATTTTGTCATCCACTGAAAAATCCTTGAACAAAGTAGCAACGTTCAGCCAATTTGTCACCTTGACCAAAATATTCTCTCTCTTGATTGATTTTCCTCTCTGAAAATTCTTGAGTTCCTTTCTTCCCAATTCATCCAGTGTATAGCCACTCTAATACATCTCCACATCATTTTGCCTCTCTTCCTTGGGTTAAAAATGTCTTTGTTTAAAGATGCTTTGTATGTTCCTCGGAGTTGACCAACAACCAAAAAGATCAAAAACACTCTCTGGAATACTAGATGCACAGGGGCAGGAGATTAGCAAGTGGAAAGTAGCTTCATCACTTGCCATGCATAGAGAACAAACACTAGGGGCTAAGCACCAATTAGGTCTCCTCTTTTGAGTTTATCACGTTTTCTAATCTTGACTTATCTGATTGATTGCAACATCTGATCACACAAGCCTTTATATTGCAATACTAATGTTATACATGGCGATATTACAATTTCTAATACTTGGAACATAGGTTTGTCAACCAATAGAAAACAGTATAATAAACCAGGAAGAAAATAGGAAGAAGAAAGAGAAAAAGCACCAAGATTTAAGGTGGTTCAGATCAATAGCCTACATCAATGAGAAGAGTGGGCAAAATATCCACTATGAGAGTAAGAGATACATGGCTGGCCTCTCTACAGTCTCACAACAAAATGTTCACTCTCACTCAACCCTAACCCCACACAACAAATAGCTTAAATAAGCAAAAGGCCCAATTATATTAAAATTACACATAGACTGTGTTGAAATAGTTTATTTTATTTCTTGTTTATTATTTTCTGTCTTGTTAGGGTCCGTTTGGTCGGTTTAAAGTCTTTTTTATTTGCTGTTGTTGTACTTTATTTACAGCAGGGGCACAAGGGTCTTTTTCCCTTTTATTTTAGTCGCCCTATAAATGTTAATAGAATCTGGCACCACCAGAACTATTCCATTGTCGCCAATCTCTCTTCTTCTCTTCTACCTTCTCTCTTCTTCCTCTCTTCCCTTCTCTTTCTTATTTCTAGTCGACTTTACTGTCAAGATGGTATCATAGCCAGGTTACTGATTGTGAGACAGATTGAACAAGTTTTTTTTTTTTTTTTCTATTTTGACTTGCTGAATCTGGGGCTGAACAAAACTGATCTATGACTGGTACAGTCCTTTTTTTTTTCTCTTTTACCTTTCTTGATCGTGCACCAAGAGAAAAATCAAATGAATCTGGGCTGCTGAATGTTGTCAGACCTTTGTGAGGTTTATACCTCTTTTTTCTTGGACCGTGTGATCCTGTACCTGTGAAAAGGTGACTGTAGGTCACGGATGACCTGTTATCTCCAGTTTTTGGTATGATGACAAGTGTTTAAGGATCTCTCCTGATGGTTAATGTTCTTAGACATTCTGGAAGGTTGGTAGGTTGGGACTGTTAACCCGTACAGGTCTGAAATCAGTCTGATCTTGCCCCCTTTTTTCTGGAAATTGGTGCTGTTTTGTGCTCAGTTTGAGTCCAAACCAAAGTGTGTGTGTGGACTGCTTACTCGTGTGGAGCTAAGTTTTTTTTTGGTGTAAGGAAGGATCCTAAGTTGAGTGTTGAGACTGAAATTCTTTTTTGACCATGTCCTCTGAGAATTCTGCTACTTCGGGGGTTTTAGGAAGTCAAAATGGACTGAGTGGGGGAATAGATATGAGTTTTCCCATGGCTGTAATTCCCTTTGTTGGACTAAACTACCTTGAATGGTCTAGGGGAATAAAACTCTACATCACTTCTAGGGGGAAAATAGGATATATTAATGGGAAAGTAAAGGAACCGAAGAATGGAAGTGCTGAATATGATAGGTGGAACCAAGAAAATAGTATGGTGATGTCATGGCTTTTGGTTTCCATGCTACCACAAGTAAGAAAGACATTCATGTGGGCTGAAACAGCTCGTGAAATATGGGAACAAGCAAAATCTACTTATTCAAAGCAAAGGCACTATGCTAAGATATACCAACTGCAAGTTGAATCCTCTACTTGCAAGCAGGGGGAGAGGAGTCTCTCAGTGTACTACTCAGATCTGACATCAATCTGGAAAGAACTGGATCACTATCAAAATGTGAATTGGAAATGTGATGAAGATGCAAAGGCATATAAGTCACTTGTCTCTCAATAACGGGTATTTGCTTCTTTTTTGGGGGTTGAACCCTTCATATGAGTCTATTAGAGTATAGATCTTGGGAAGTAAAGACATGCCATCAATTCAGGAGGTTTACGCCTTAGAAGAGAGTGGATGACAAGAGTAAACTTTGGTGCACTCACTGTCAGAAGACAAGACACACCAGAGATACATGTTGGGACCTCCATGGGAACCTAGATGGGCACAGGAACTGGGTAAGAAGTCAACAACTGGTCAGAGTAAGAAACCAATCCAGCAGAATTAGAAAAAGTACAACTCAACTAATATGGCAATTCAAGAGACTAGTCCCATGATAATTGAGGAAAGGCACCCTAGTTCTGACCCTAAGGAAGAGATTATCAACTCCTTTCATGACCATTTGGAGTTATATGGTAGGACTCTTTGTCAGATGGATTCTGGTCCTACTCCTTCTACCTCCTTTGCGTCTACATCAGGTAACACTACCACTGCTTTTCATGTGTCATCTCATACATCTGATTCCCCTTGGGTAATTGACTTTGGAGCCTCAAACCACATGACTGGTAAGTCAAATTTATTTCAGGCATATAACCTCCTCTTTGGGAGAGATAAGGTGAGACTGGTGGATGGTTCATTCTCCACCATAGCCGGCCAAGGAACTATATCTCTCCCACTCGGCCTTACCCTCTCTAATGTGTTGTGTGTTCCTAAATTACCTATAAATTTGCTCTCCATTAGCAGTATTACTCACTCCTTGAATTGTTCATTGACTTTCTTTCCATCTTCATGTGTGTCTACGTGTTGGGGAATAAAGCTGGTCTTGTGGCTACAGAGTCCTTGAGTTCGTCCAATGAGAGTCAAGCTTACTTATGGCATAGTTGTCTTGGTCATCTTTCTTTTGAGTCATTTAAAGTTATGTTTCTAGAATTATGTAAGTCTTTGTCAGTTAGAAAGTTGCAGTATCAGACATGTCAATTGAGCAAACATTGTAGAAGTTCTTTTCCTTTAAGAAATAAAAGATCTGAATTTCCGTTTCATATTGTCTATTCTGATGTTTGGGGCCATGTTATTCTACCTATTGAGGCTAAACATAAGTACTTCATTACTTTGATTGATGACTACTCTAGATATACTTGGGTTTACCCTATGTGATCTAGAGATGAAGTGCCCAAAATTGAAAGACTTTCAACGCATGGTTTTCACTCAGTTCCAAATTGAAATTCATATTTTCCAGTCGGACAATGCAAAAGAGTACTTCCATACTGATCTCACGGAGTTCTTTGCTTCGTGTGAATCTCTTCATTGAAGCTCTTGTGCTAGGACACCCCGGCAAAACGGTGTTGCTGAAAGGAAAAACCGTCACCTTCTCGAAGTAGCTCGTGGTTTATTACTCCATATGAATGTTTCGAAACACTTTTTGATTGATGTTGTTTTGTGTGCTACATACATCATCAACCGTATGCCATCTCAGTTACTAGAGTATAAGGTCCCACATCAACTTTTGTTTCCTACAGCTCCGTTGTCCCCCATTCCAATGCGTGTTTTTGGGTGTCATTGTTTTGTTCATGACTTGTCCCCTATCGTGGTAAACTTGATCCTCGTGCTATTCCTTGTATTTTCCTTGGTTACCCTTTATGTCAAAAGGGTTATCGTTGCTATGATCCCACCTCTCGCAAGTACTATGTCTCCGTAGATGTATCATTCTTTGAGAGTCAACCTTTCTTCTCGGTTTCTCCTTAGGGGGAGAGTAGGGTTGAGGAGAAACACACCCAGGCTCAGGCTCGATTACCTCCTCTTCCTAATCCTCCTCTATTCCGTGTCTTTCTTCACCACCACAAGAGCCAGTAGAGTTCAAGAGTTGTGGAACCTGAAACTATGCAACCAACATCATAGGATTCTCCAGAGGTAGATCTTCCTCATAAGCTAGGTACACTTGTTCCTATTGATATGCCTGAACCTCTTAATGTTGATCCCCTTGCCATTAATGATCTTGATGTTCCTATGACTAAGAGAAAGGGTGTTAGATCCTGTGCTACTAATCATCCTATCTCTCACTTTGTGTCCTATGACCATATTTCACCTTCTTATTGTGCATTCCTCTCTTCCGTTGACAGTGTCTCTATTCCTAAGAATGTGGCAGAAGCTTTATCCAAACCTAAATGGATAGATGCAATGAAGGAAGAAATTGATGCATTACACAAAAATGGCACTTGGGAGTTGGTGGATCTTCCTGAAGGGAAGGAACTAGTGGGATGCAAGTGGGTGTTCACAGTGAAGCATAAGGTTGATGGAATTGTTGAAAGGTACAAGGCCAGATTGGTGGCAAAAGGTTTTACACAGGTATATGGAGTAGACTATGCAGAGACATTTGCTCTAGTAGCCAAGATGAACTCTATCAGGATTCTTCTCTCATTGGCAGCAAATCCTGACTAGGAACTTCACCAGTTGGACATTAAAAATACTTTCTTGAATGGTGACTTAGGAGAGGAAGTGTACATGACTCAACCTCCAGGTTTTTGTACCAAAGGCAGTGAGCAGAAGGTGTGCAGGTTAAAAAAATCTTTATATGGGTTGAAACAATCACCTCGGGCCTGGTTTAGTAAGTTCCACTTAGGAGTTCACTAGATGGGGTTCAAGCAATGCCAGTTAGACCACACTTTGTTTGTGAAGAAAGGTGAAGGGAAAATTGCACCTTTAATTGTGTATGTGGATGACAATGATCACAGGATACTAGGAGACTAAAATACAGAAACTGAAGAAATTCTTAGCCACTCAATTTGAGGTGAAAGATCTAGGACCCTTACATTATTTCCTTGGAATTGAAGTTGCCCGCTCTCAAAAGGGCATCTTTATTTCCCAACGGAAATATGTACTAGATCTACTAGAAGATACAGACAAGCTAGGGGTGAAACCAATTGACTCACCAATTGAACCTAACCATCAGCTGAGAGACAGTTAGGGGGAGTTCTTGAAAGATGTGAAGAAGTTTCAGAGACTTATAAGGAGACTCTTATATTTGTCTATGACCAGGCCTGATATTGCTATGCAGTGGGTGTCCTTAGTCAGTTCATGCACAATCCTAGGACAACTCACTTTGAAGCTGCAGAGAGGATCCTTAGATACCTTAGTAAGTTTCCGGGAGCTGGTTTGTTGTTCCAAAAACATGGGCATTTAAAGGTGGAAGTATATACTGATGCTAATTGGGCAGGGGTAGTCGATGGCTGAAAGTCTACAGTGGGTATTGTACCTTTGTAGGAGGAAACTTGGTCACCTGGAGAAATAAGAAGCAAAGTGTGGTGGCTAGATCCAGTGCTAAAGCAAAATATAGAGCTATGTCTCATGGAGTTACTGAAATCATGTGGATAAGAAACCTGTTAGGTGAATTGGGTTTTGCAGTTAACAACCCTATGTCACTCTATTGCAACAATAAAGTTGCTATCAACATTGCTGCTAATCTAGTACTCCATGATAGGACGAAACACATTGAAGTGGACAAGCATTTTATTAGAGAAAAACTTGTGAGTGGACCAGAAGCTCCTGGGTTGCCTAAGTTGCAACCATCAAAGTTGAATTTGAGAAATGATGGAGGTGGTGGTGTCCATTCAACCCTTACACTTGGTCTGCCCATTGAGGGCTCAATCTCCCACCATTTTCCAGTTTCTGTTGGCATCATCAGTTGTGAATGGAGCAAAGATGCCCATTTCCTTCACCCAGTATGCCACCTTCACAGTAATGTTTTCTATTACTTCCTCAATTCCTTCTATCTTGTTCATGAAGAGGCCTGTGTTTCTTCCTTCCCAAGTACACCACAATACTGCAGCCCTTGTGAAACTCCACAGTATTTTGTCTCCCTTTGTAGGGGAGAAGAAGTGAGCTTCAAACAAGTTTGGTAGACTGCTAAGTAAACACCACCATTTGATTTGCACATAAGACAAATATGAAGATGAATGCCTTTTTCCAAAGTTTAATCCTATATAATGATTATCATTTTTAGGTTATTATCTTATATGTAGCATGAATATGGACCTGAGAATCAAACATTGACATGGTTAGGGAGACTAACTCCATTAGTTGAAAAAACAAGGGTGTGGGGACACATGAGATAATACATTTATTGTCAAAAATTCAGGTACCTTATAATGGCCATATATGTAAACTTGTAGAATGTGCATATGCAAGTAAAATGTAAAAATATAGCTTCGTTAATTAGGTGTATAGGAAGATGTAGTTCACAATATATGCCAGAAACTCGTTGGTAATAGTCAAGGAAAGAGAACAAAGAAAGAAATAGGCAAAAACATCACTGAAGAATCAATGGAACATCAGAATCTGACACATGCTCAAGGACATATTGTCCATTTAGGAGAATCCATCAATCCTGTATATAGGGAAATGACCAGAAAAGTAGTTGGTGTTGTATTCAACTTTCATGAACTAAGCATTACTGATTGAAGTTCTAAAATTTTATTGAACCTAATTTTCTCTTGTAATCCAGCCTACATGGCAGCCCATATCAGTGAGAGAAGGTAGTGAACCTGATGCCTTTTGGGATGCACTTGGTGGAAAGTTAGAGTACCCAGGGGAAAAGGACATCAAAGGCTATGTCGAAGATCCATATTTGTTTGTCTGTACCATTACAGAAGGTGAACAAATTACCTCTGTTTGCTGTAATTCTTTTCATTCAAAAGATAATGAGCTGCTTCTTTGATTGAGAACTTTTGCAGCTATAAATGGATGTGCAAACATGCTTAATGGTGGATTATTTTTCTTTTGCTACTTCTTCGGGTTTTATATCCTTAGGTGATATCCAGGTATGCATCACAGTGTGTCTGCACTTCTCTTATTCAAGTCAAGACTCAAAAGCATTCATTCTCTTATTGTTCCCCTAAATTCGTGTGGGTGATTAGTAAAAAAACAGCATAGTAAATAGTTCTTTTTCTTTTCTGTAGCCTAAGAAGTTACTTTTGATAGGATGGTAGAGATAGCAGTGTTACATTTCTGTAGAATAAGATGACAAAGGTTTAGTTTCTCTAGAATACATTATGATGCTCTATCTCCATATTTGTTTTCTTGCTGTTAAAGTCCTCCTATGTTCACTCAGATTTAGTGGTTTTTTTTTTTTTTTTTTTGCAATGATTATCAACCCCACATGGGCCACATCAGCAATCCTAGACCCTAGAATTTTCAGATGTTCATCCTTAATGCATGCCTTTTAAACCATTAGTTATTACTGATAAACTCAAGAACGTCCTTACTTTTCCAGCCTCTTTTCTTCCCCTTCAAATATCCTGATGCAGCCATTTCTGAAAGGTGCGACACAACCTGCATCTAGTTCTTGAACCTTTTTTTTTTTTTTGACTTTTGCAACCTTCCCTGCTATTTTCTACCATGAACTTTCTTCTAGATTAACAACCTAGCCCTTATGTTTCCTGAAACCTAGTTCAACTCTTTGAGTAATGGCCTTTTTCTAAGAAGAGAAAAAGAGTATGGACATATATTTCTTCCTCCAGTTGGCTACTATTTATATAAATATTGCATTATATGTGGTACAATGTCTAATTTGTCCCTACTTGGAGCAACAACAATACCCCTGCCTTGCACCACTTTACAATTGGAATTTTGGATATCAATGTCCAAGAAGCACCAGCTCACTCAGAAGTGGCTCAACCCATTACCCAAGGGACTCTTACCTCATTGTTTTTGTAAGATATGCATGTAGAAATCCACCTTTTTGTTTCTCCTTATCTTTTTTTATAAAATCTGTGGGATCTCCATTGATTTTTGTGTGACTGATGTGAAATGAAAAGATTGGAAATCAAGTCCAAACTTCTACATGAATTTCAGTAAATTCTGAATGAGAACTTCCACTTGGACGTTAATGATCACAATAATATCATAAAATTGTTTTGAGGCTATGAGAGAAATACTTCTCACTTTACTTTTTTCTCTTGTGACAAATTTTACAGGTTAAAGAGATCTTCAATTTCAGTCAGGACGATTTAACTACAGAAGATGTTTTAATATTAGACTGCCATAATGAAATCTATGTATGGATAGGGCAGCATGCAAATGTTAGATCAAAACAAGCCCTCAGTCTAGGCATGGTATAACAGCAAACTGGTCTTTTATTTTGTTACTAACTTATGATTATAGGGAACACTTTGGTGTTGTAATTGTGCATCCTTGAAGATATACATTAGTCAGGCCTGACTATTCATTTATCCAAATCCTTCAGTGGTTGGACTTTGCCTATTGCCTTTTAGCCCCCCCTCCCAAACTAATGCTTTGGTGGACCACATGTAAGCAGAGGCACCAGTATCCCGATAGTTCATCTTGTACCACCGATAAAAAAAATGAGAGTCCACCCCTTTGCACTATTTTTTATTACTAATTTAACCACTTACATGTATACATTATGCTTTGCTCAAACCTAGCAGAAATTCCTTGAGAAAGACATTCTTGTTGAAGGTCTATCTTTGGAGACTCCTATATATGTTGTTGCTGAAGGACATGAACCATCTTTCTTTACTCGGTTCTTTGAATGGGATTCCTTAAAAGCATGTGTAAGTATCCCTGAGTGGTTCTCGTTGGAGATCTTTTTTACAAATTCTTGTTATTTCCCCTATTGTTTTAGGAGATGCATTTTTTTTTTCTATCGTACATTGATGAAATTTTCCTAGTTCCCTTTTATGTGATTTAGAAGCTCTGCCAGCTGCATAAATATAGAATTTGAACTTGGTTTATCTTGTAGATGCATGGAAATTCATTTGAGAGGAAGCTTGCTATTTTAAAAGGACAAATGCAAAAGATGGGGGTAAATCACTACATTTATTGGCTTCTCACCAGTCCCATTGAACTCTATTTTGTATTTGTCTGCTTTTTTCCCTATTAAACAAGTCTTGAAAGGTACTATTTGATTTAGAAACTTTAGTCATTCTACTTCATATTTTACCATCGCAAACCTGAAATATTTGGGACTGAACCCTTGAATTGTTATAACTGCCTCAGGATTAATACACACACATTAACTAAAGAGTGGTAACCATCATTGTGCATCTTATCACTAGTAGCATTGTCACAGATCTCATTCCCGGTAAATTCTTGCCAAGACAATAATGAGATTTGAACTTTATTTGCATCTGTCAGATTTTACAGAAAATATAGGGAAATCAAAAAAAAAAAAAAAAGAAAGGAAGAAAAAACACTTTCATTTAGAACAATAAAATTATACTTGTTTAGGGGGTGTTCAACAACGTGGTTAGTTTTGTTTTTATCTTCAAAAACAAAACCAACCATGTTGATGAACACCCCCTTAATTACTGTATTTTAGATATCGAGTTTCATTTATAAACGTGAGAATCTATTTTAGAAGTTCGTGGAGAAAAACAAAGTACAAAATTTTATTGGGTGGCTATTTTCTCCCAAGTAAATGCATTTTATTTTCTTTGAAACTCCATGGAATTGTCACTAATATTTTTGGAAATATATAAATGTACTAATGTTTTTCCTTTTGATAAATGATAAAATTGCATTTTGATTGATAATGGTATAGGATATGCATCTTTTCATGAGCAAATATCCAAACTTGCTGTTTTTCCCTTTTAATTTGCTAGTTTTCATGTTTCTTTGAATTCTTTATTGAGGCAATACCTTATACAGGTATCAAAAAGAAGTCCATGGAAAGCATATGATTTTCACTCCACCAGAACAACCCCTGACCGTTCTAGAAGCAAGTCCATTGGTTCTGATGAGCTCCGAAGAAGTGTCTCTCCTGCAGCACATATTTCAAGCTCAAAATTTAATGCCCCCAACAGCCGCCGATTCTCTAGCCCAATTCCAATTGCCAGGAAACTCTTTTCAGGAACATCCCCTGATCATAGTAGTGCTAATAACAAAGCATTCATAGATCCATGCACCAAGGAAATAAAAGGTAGTTTATTCTTGAAATATTGTTAGGGTGAAAATGGTCTCCTGTTCTTCATTGATTCTTTTAATTTGTGGTTAGACATGCATAAGCCTTTTTTTTTCTTTCTTTCTTTTTTTGGTGCTGAGGGATGGAGGGCTACACACGTCAGTTTCAGTCGAAGAAGAGAAGAGAAAGAGAGTCACACGAAAATGGATGGGTTTGTACAGTACCACATGCCCAGAAAAAGATATTTATATATTAATGTGAGAATGGACAGTTCTGTCCTTCCAAGTGTGAGATATGTACAGTAATGTACAAAGAGATATACAAAAGAGCCAAATAAAAGAAAGTAAAATTACAAAGTTACCCCTCATCCTCTCTACACTCCCCCTCAAATTGATGCTTAGGTAAGAGCATTAGTTTGTCTACAAGAAAATTGTGTCGAGTGCGTATCATAGCCTTAGTAAAGAGATCAGCCAACTGAAGATTGGAAGACATGAGGCAATGTGATGTGACCAGTAGTGAGAAGGTCTCGAATGAAATGGCAGTCCACCTCTATATGCTTAGTCCGTTCATGGAAAGACTGGATTTGAGGCAATTTTGATTGCACTCATATTGTCAGCAATAAAGGGATGGGAGCGGAGTGATCAATGGTCAAATCATGAAGAAGAGCTTTAAGCCAGACAAGCTCACTGCAAATAGAGGACATGGCACAGTAATCGGCTTTAGTAGATGATTTGGAGACTGTCTGTTGCTTCTTACACTTCCAAGAGATGAGGGAATCACCTAAGAAAACACACCAGCCAGTGGTGGACCGTCTGGTGTCAGGGCAACCATCCCAATCAGCATCAGCATAAACAGTCAACTGAGGAGATGAGGAAGATGAGAAGAAAAGTCCATGAGATAAGGTGCCTTTAACATATCCGATAATTCAGAGCACAACAGAGAAATGAGATTGTCGAGGGGCTGATACAAATTGGCTAACTATCTACAAAGCATATGATATGTCTGGCCGAGTCATAGTAAGGTAAATAAGGCTTCCAACAAGTTGACGATATAATGTAGCATCAGGAAGGAATTGTCCATCATCCTTACTAAGCTTAAGGTTGAGTTCCAATGGGGTATCAACTTGCTTCGAGTTAGAGAGATTGGCCATCTTAATTAGGTCATTAGCATATTTGTGCTGATTAACAAAATATCCTCGAGCACTTCCGGTGATCTCAAGACCAAGAGAGTAAGTCACAAAACCAAGATCCTTCATTTTGAAGGATTGACTGAGAAGTTGCTTCAACTGAGTGATCCCTTCGAAGTCATCACCAGTAATAAGTATATCGTCAACATACACTAGTAGAAGAGTCACTCCTTGGGGACGACAAAGAATAAAGAGGGAATAATCTTAGGCACTTTGCTGAAATCCTGCTTCAATAATAACCCCTTTGAACTTGTCAAACCAGGCCCGTGGGGCTTGTTTAAGCCCATACAAGGACTTCTTTAGTTTGCAGACTAGAGTAGAATCATCACAGTAGCCTGGAGGAGGTTTCATATACACTGTCTCACGGAGATGCCCATGAAGAAAGGCATTCTTGACATCCATTTGATCAACAGTCCATTGTTTAATAGCAGTGATAGCAAGAATAAGTCGAACAGTAGTCATCTTAGCCACTGGCACAAACGTCTCCTCATAGTTGATGCCATGTTCTTGTTTGTACCCTTGAGCAACAAGGCGAGCTTTATATCTATCTAGGCTCCCATCAGAATTCAATTTGACTGAGTACACCCAACGACTGCCAATAATGGAGGCATCTGGAGGAGAGACAAGCTCCCAAGTATCATTTTCCAATAGGTCCTGAATTTCCAAGTCCATTGCAGCTTTCCAATGCCCAATTGCTGCAGCCTGCCGGTAAGACTTAGGGATATCTGTAGAAGACAAAGTAGCAGAAAGGGAACTATGGATAGCAGAATATCCATAGCGATCAAGAGGACGAATAACTCTGGAAGAGCGTTGTAAAGGAGTGGGAGTAGGAGGTGAAGGATCACTTACATGAGAAGTAGATGTGGATGGTACAAGGTCTGAGGATGTCAGAGGAACATGCATCGGGGTCGATAAAGGAGGAGGAGGCATAGGCATTGGTGCAGTTGGATACTTCCTGTTATAGACTTGAAGGGGCAATACTGAATCACCTGCAGGAGTAAGTTGTGTAGAATAGAGAAGGATGGTGTAGGTAATTTAATAACATATTCAAAAAACTGTACCCCATAAAGGCACACATAGCTGATTGAGCAGTAAGCTTAGTGCGCTCATGGGGAGGAAGATGTACAAGGCAAATGCAACCAAAAACATGAAGTGTAGAGTAGTTTGGAGAACGATGAAAAGACAATAGAAAGGTAATTGATTACCAAGAATTGAAGATGGAATGATGTTAATGAGATACACAGCAATGTTGGCCACTTCCACCCAAAAGGAAACGGGAACATGGGAGTCGAGCAAAAGGGATCTCACCATACTCAAGATGTGTCGTTTCTTGCGTTCAGCAACTCCATTTTGTTGAGGAGTTCCTGGACAAGATCTTTGGGATAGAATACCATATTTCTTTAAATAGGTCTGAAATTCTCCATTTTCCCCATCAAAATATTCTCCCCCTGAGTCAGAATGTAGAATACGAATGGTGGCATTGTGTTGGGTCATTATCATGGTGTGAAAATTCTGAAAGGTGGGAAGTACAACTGATTTCTTCCGAAGGAAATAAATCCAAATATATCTAGTGCAATCATCAATAAATAAAACAAAGTATGTGTATCCAAGTGTGGATATAATAGGAGACGACCAAACATCACTAAGTATTACTTGGAAAGGAACAGTAGCATGCACAGATGAAGATGGAAAAGGTAAAATACGACCTTTAGTAAGCCCACAAGTTATGCAAGATTTATCAATATTCTTAGAAACAAAATTAACAATAGGTAAACAACCAGAAGAAAATAGATGATCCAAGTTCTTAGCATGTGTGTGGCCTAAATGTCTATGCCATAAATGCCACACATTATTACAACGAGAATGTAACACATCACTAGTAGTAGAAAGAAAACAAGATGAGGATGTAGGTCTCTTCTCGAACTCAAGAGCAAACAGCCTCCCAAGCCTACTCCCCTTTCCCTTCACCTCCCCAGTGTGTTGATCTTGTATGACACAACCATCACGAGAAAATAGAACCAAGTTACCATCATCAACAAGTTGACCCATAGAAATAAGATTGGTAGTTAATTGAGGAATAAAGAAGGTTTTGGGGAGATGAAGGAAGATGGTTGAGAGGTAGAAAGAAATAAATCATCACAACCAACAATCTTTAATGACTCACCCACTAGCAGTAATAATCTGGTCATTAGAAGGGTAAGGTTTAGGAGTCTGACCAAAGGAGGCCCCAGTCATATGATTTGAGGCTCCATAATCTATAATCCACATATGGCTAGGAGAGGAGCAAGTGGTAGAAGACTTACCAAACAAGCCGATAGCAGAGAAGGCAGATGAAATAGCTCAAGACACAAGCTATCGTATCTTATCCTCAGTCAGAGTACCAGAAGGCTCCCCCTTTTGAGTCTGAGTTGGAGGAGACAGTAATGTTAGATGAAGACTCTGTAACTGTCTGAAGTGCCTTGTATTGACCCTTCTTGGGAGGTCGGGTAGGGCATTCAATAATGATGTGACCCTGTTGTTTGCAGTAGGTACAAAAATTCATTTTCTTACAGTGAGAGGCCACATGTCTGAACTCCTTGCACTCATAGCACTACATCTTGGAGAAGTCCTTTTTTCCCTTTGGCTTGGTAGCTAGAAAAACTGTATCATGTCCATGTTCTTTCTTGCTGTCAAGGGAGGATTGAGTGTATAGTCTAGTCTCCTCCCTTGATAGTTTACCCAATATGGTGTCCAAGTCGGGCACATTTTCCCTGCTGAGTATGTTGGATCTTATCAACTCATAATCGGGTCTAAGGTGCATAAGAAAGTGCATGATCTTCCTTTGATCGAAATGCCTTTTCATAGTTGTCACACAACAATCAATCGTTGTGGCCCCAAGATGAACAGGTTCATATTCTATCAACAGATTAACAAAACTAGCATAATATTCCTGTATTCTTCTCCCCCTGGGTGTATGGGAATATGTCCATTTCAATATGATATTGTCTGGACATATTTGACTGCTGATACACCTTCGCAAGGTCATACATCTCCTTAGCAGTTTTTAGGCCTCTCATAGGAATAACTACATCGACAGTGACTGAACTTAATATCCAGGAAACTATTTGGGCATTACTGATTTTCCACTGTTTCAGCCCTTTAGCATCTGTAACATCAGGAATGGTTGTGGTACCATCCAGATAGCTCCACATACCCTTCCCTTCAACAAAAAATTGGAAATGGAATTTCTAGAGAGCATAGTTTGTTCCATCAAATTTCACAGATATGATGTCATTCCTTTCAGATCCCATATTCAGTCAAGAAACCAAAGGAAGACTATAGAAAAGATGATAGCAATCACTAGAAGTCAAGAGGAATACCTTGAGAAGGAGATAATAATCACTGGGAATCACTGAGACCCTTAGAGTAAGAAAACGAAATCTGAAACCTCAGTCGAAAAATCAACAGTCCAAAAAAGGAAACTGTAAGTAGCAGCCACCCAAGGAAGAGGATCAAAATCCCTTCAAAACTTCACCAAATCAAGAGATATTTGTACAGCAAATAGATCTGGTCTAGGCGACACCAGATCTGAAGTTTGGCCCTGATCTGAGATCTTCCAAGTGAGATCTAATGAAATCTCTCCTGCAGAGTTCGAACTCTGTCTGTACAGCAGGTAGGGTTGATAAAAAACAACCCTATACACTCCACCAGTTGAAGGGTTCAATAGACCTCAGTAGAGAAATGAGATTACAACCCATAGAAAGTGATAAAGAAGCAAAAATAAGATCAGAGAGCAACCTGCTCTGATACCATGTCAGTTTCGGTCGAAGAAGAGAAGAGCAAGAGAGTCACA